GCCTCATTTAAGCTCTGGTCTCAGTTAGGGCAGTTCATTGGAGAGGCTGAAGGAGCAGGTGGCTGAGAGAAGGACCCCTCTAGGAGTTTTTCTTCCAGTGAATTGACTTGGATCAGGCAGAAACAAAACTCTGCTTTTATCATATTTTCTACTTAATTTGTGTGCTGCTTCCTTAAGGGTGTGCCTATGGAGTTGGCTTCTGAGAGGAGTGCTCATACATGGGCAAAATGACTATTATAGATAGAAGCTCTTGGTCACAACTGGATTACACAAGACAAACTTCTCTCTATAAGATCATGATGCTTCCTAATTCTGTTTCTCCAGGTCTTTAATTTCCAGGCACTGGAATTGCCTTAAATCCATTTTGGCACAGAATGCATCATTATTTTCATATTGTGCTAGTCTACTCTCCCGCTTTCATCCCTGTGAGCCAGGAGTGAATAAGAGTTGGCAACTTTATACTCGACTATTATATTGCAGAGGACGCTTTAATCAGCACCCTAATAAATAGCACGCCCAATTAATTGGGACACTTGCCAGGAAAGCAATTCACTTCCCTACACTGCAGTGGCTGTAAATGATGGATAAATAGCACGCTTGCCGTTGTCTACAAGCACATTAGTTGCAATTAACAGGTATGATTTGGTGTTTGCTGGCATGTGTTTCCTCAGTAGCGCTCGGCTCATTTTTCAGTAGGCTCCCTGTTCCAGGGCAGTTGCTAAAAATAAATAAAGGACAGATTTCCCTTTCAGTATTTGCTCAAACCTATGTAGTCCTTTTGTATTAAAAATAATAAAAATCAATATAATCTATGTGTTTCTATGTATTCTATTCCTATATGGTTTTGACAATAAAGTTGATAATGTGATTAGCATGTTTCTGTTTTAATTAGTACAGCAAACAGGACTTTGCCACACCATGGAATAATTCACAACAAAGGGAGGGATTTCTGCAGATTTCTGCAGGATCCACAGAAGTACAACCTATTTTCTGAAACTGGTATATGCTATGATTTGCTGTACACGTGACACTTTCTCTTATTTGGACAACCTTTGCCAAAGAATGAAATAAAATTGAACACAACAAACATTTCTAATCCCCGCATTCCTCACAGATTGCTTTAATGGAGACTGAAAAAAATTATTTGAAGTAAATGAATATGAAAAGGGAAATCTCAACAAGGGAGCTTAAAAGCCAGGATGGCTATGGATCAGCCGAGGGTAGAAACATTTGTGCAATTAAAGGAGAACATCATTTGTGGGTTATCTGAAAAGAACCGATCATGTTGGCATTTAGTTTGACTTGTTGGTAGGGGGAAAAGAAACCGCCCCGTACCACGGCGTATGGTTCCTTATTAGTTGTGGCTTCTGCAGAGGCTCTGACTCTTCTTTGGAGCATGGAGGATTTCTTTCATTACATAATCTGGATACTTTCTTTTATTTTTTAATAGATTAATTTTTTTTTTCTCTTGTGTGTGCAAATTCTCTTTGCACCAATGCTTCTATACTGAGGTTATTATGCCAAAGGAATGCAAGCGTCTAGAGTAACAATGGTTCATTTTCCTTTAATGACTTTGTCGACAGGATGGAGACATTTTTGTGGTGTGATGAATTCACTCGGTCTCCCGTTGTGTTTTCTCCACATGCTTTGGAAACTCTCTCTCTCTCTCTCTCTCTTTCTCTGAGAATTGTGGCCATCCACTCCAGCAAGAGCTTCATTACTTTATATTCATTGTATTTAAATGACACCCCAGTGGTACTGACCTCCTGGGATGATTGATGTAAATTATATGCTATGTAGGGGAAAATAAAATCTTTTTCTGACTTTTTATGTTCTGCAGAGAAATAAAAAGTGAAAACAAATGACAGAGAAAATCAGGCCTATTCAAAGTGGAACTCTGTAAGCATTATGGTTTGAGCAGACTCCAGTTTGTAAAAGTGCTGAGACAGTTTATAATGACCTTACAATCTGAAAGGTGACCCGAAAAAGGAAAATTATTTTCTATGTGCCCTTTTTTGGTTTTGTATAATGTATAACAAAAACTTGCTCATTTTTTTTTCCCCTCTGTCAAGTATAGTAAAATTTCAGACTCGAGGAGGGAGCGCTTAACGTACTGTTACTGACAATGATGCACAGTACTAGAAGGGACATTGTGCTCGTCTTCTTTCCTCCTGTCTTTGAGTAAATTTTTTGGTATAGATTTAAGATTCCATAGCCACTAAGCATCTGTCTTGCTCAATTACTCTGCCAGGAGTTACCACCTACAGAAGTGACAACAGAGGGAATGTTCTTTCATCTGCCCAGCTCATCATCAGGCGGTGGCTTCAATCACTTCTGAACCAGTAACCTCTCACTGCGGGATAAAGCGTTGTGCACAGCAACAAAATTTGTCAGAAAATGTTCTCTCGGTGCTTTTTCAGGCACCTCACCAAGTCACGCTGCCTCTATTCAAACTCCTGGAAATTACATAATTCACATTCGACATGCTCAACCATATTATCCCAGTAATTCCCTTATTAAAATTACCATATGGAATTGGCATAGTAATTTCTCTATTTTCTATATTTTCCTGTTGGTCCGTCCTACCAATTCTGATATATGCAAAGATATGCACGGTACATATCACCAAAAATTCAGCAACGTGCTGCCTTGTCTTCCTCAGTTTAACCTAAGGTTTTGGCAAACCACAGAATTTGGCTAGAAACTTGAGTTGCTTCAAGGAAGGCTGCAGTACCTTTCACAACCTGACAAGATGCTTTGAGTCTCCTTTTTGGCCAAGAAAACACTTATCAATAACCCTGCTTTGGCCGGGGTTGCCCAGGTGTTTCAAAATGTGTAACAGGAAGGACTAGATCAGGCCATCCTCCTCATAGCAATAACTAGACCTTGCTGTGCATGCAAGAATCAGCAGCACGAGGCCTCTTATTCTCTAGGAGATTATTTTAGCTGTTTGGTGTTTTGCCCTGTTGCTGTCAGTGCTTGGGCTGGTATTGGCTTTGCTTTCAGAATCATCAGCGATGGCAGAAGGGAGAGAGGATGGCAGTGCTCGGCAGAATCGCCTCGTCTTTCTGAAGCTGATGTGGGAGGTGGAAATGCAGAAGGGACTGATACGTGTGTTTATACACAGTAGTAAGAAGGACTGGGAGTGACTGGTAGCCAAAAAGAGAGAGAAAAAATTAAGAACGGCAGAAGGAAGCTAAAGGAAAAAGGCAGAAAATAAGATTAATTTCAAATAAGCTGATGGCCCCTAGACTGCACTGCAGTGCTTTCCAGAGCTTCCTCCTGCCTCCTTTTCTTATCCCTCAGAAAAAGAGAAGTTAAATGCTGTGATGTACAGAAAATTACGAAGTCTCTAAGCTGTCAGTTTCTTAGAATGAATCGTAGTAGAAATAATATGGGTACTGTTCAGTGTGAAGGCAGGAATTTGAATGAAAGACGGACCGAGAAAGGCAAAGCAAAAGACAGACCATAACTTTGGAAGTTATACACCCCACAAACCTTCAAGAAAAGCAAGACTTTTGCATATGTGGTGAAGAAAGCACTAACAGTTACTCCATTTAGTCTACTGGTCACATTTATTTATTCCAGTTTATATCACGGTACATGTCAGCCTGTCTCCTGACAAACTTGGCAGATGAGTGAAATGACCAAACTGAACTCACAAAAACTTACAATTAGGAAGTATTGAGGAAAGAAAAGATTAAAACAAGAAAGGAAAGGTAGGTTAAATACTCCAGCTCGCCTAGTTGTGTCCATCTCCATCAACCCGTTGAGCTGACAGGAAGAGGAAAGCCACCATTGCCAGGAAAGAGAGGGAAAACATAGACCCTGCTTATAGATGGCAGGGATTTAACCACCTCAATACATTTAACCACCCTGGTGTGGTTGAAGTAGTACAACTTGCTATGTTGGAGGAAGGATCCACTGGTATTTCCAAGGGCAAAAATCTATCATAGAATTGCTTATGTTGGAAGAGACCTTTAAGATCATCTAGTCCAACTGTTGACTCAGCACCACCAAGTCCACCACTAAACCATGTCCCTCAGCACCACACCTACATGGCTTTTAAATGCCTCCAGGGATGGGGGCTCCACCACTTCCCTGGACACCCTGTTTTAATGCTTGGTAACCTTTTCAGTGAAGACATTTTTCCTAATCTCCAATCTCAAATTCCCCTGATGCAACTTGAGGCCACTCCTCTTGTGCTATTGCTTGTTACTTGGGAGAAGAGACCGACCTCCCCCTCTCTACACCCTCCTTTCAGGCAGTTGCAGAGAGGGATAAGGTCTCCCCTCAACCTCCTTTCCTCCAGAATGAACACCCCCAGCTCCCTCAGCCGCTCCTCACAAGACTTGTTCTTCAGACCCCTCACCAGCTCCATTGCCCTTCTCTGGACACGCTCCAGCCCCTCAATGTCTTTCTTGTCGTGAGGGGCCCAAAACTGGACCCAGCACTCGAGGTGGGGCCTCACCAGTGCCCAGTACAGGAGGATGATCGCTTCCCCAGCCCTTCTGGCCACGCTATTTCTAATACAATGTACTATAACATAGCTATTTATGAGGAGAAGACACTGCACTATTTTAAAATACTTCCATAGCACTGTAGCTGGAGAGATGACGGTACGATGGGGCCCAACACCTGTATGAGCACACACATCCCCCCACCATGTCCTACACCCTCCTCTCCCGGCTTTTGAGCGCTCGGGGCTGCCCTGACGCCCCGTACCGCCGGGCACTGAGGGGGTAAGGGGACGGCCATGGCCGCCCGGGCGCTCCCCTTCAGCCGCCAGGCAGCACCTGCAGAAGGCGGGCTAAGGGAGAGCGCTCCGGCGGCGGGCTGTGAAGGGAACGGCGGCGGCGGGGAGGAAGCGGCGGCCGGCCCCGCCTCGGCCCAGCTCCGCCCCTCGCCCTGGGAGGCCGCCGCGGCTGCCACACAGCAGATGGAGGCGGCGGCGGGCCGCGGCCGGTGTGTGGCGGAACCGGCCCCTCCTTCCCGCGGGCGGCGCCATTTTACTGCCCCCCCCGAACCTTCCCGCACAGTGTGTGCGCTCCAGCCGCCGCCGCTGCAGGGGTGGTAGAGGCGGAGGCGGCGGCGGCGGGGGGGGTGGAAGGAGGGAGAGCGGCCGCCGGTTTCCGTCCCCCTCGTTTCTTGCCTCGGCCCAGGCAACGCGTGGAGGGGAAGGGACGAGGTTCAGTTCTTTCCCCCCTCGCTTTCCCCTTTCGGGTGGCAGCACACGGGGTTGGGGGATTGGGCACCACCGAGCCAGGCTGCTCCTACCTTCCTCCCTCTTCCTTCCTTCCTTCCTCCCCTGCACATCTCAGCCTCCTCCTCCTCCTCCTTCTCCTCATCATCATCATCCATCCGTGCCCGGGGGTGAGCTTTTTGCGTGAGTCACCAGCGAGGGCAGGCAATTAGTGTTGTTGTTGTTAAGCTGTTTTAGCTGGGCTGCTAATTTTTGGTTTCTTTGGGCCTTCAGAAAGCTTAACCTCGCGGCTTCCAGTCATTTGGGGGGGGGGGGGGGGGGGGATCTGTGGGGGCTTCTGCTCACTCCATCTATGTTTGCAGCTTTGCATTTGGGTTTTGCATTCGCTTTTGCTGGCCAGAGGTGAGCTGCACTCTGTGAAAAGGCACTGCTGTGGCAGCATGTGGCCAGTGAAGGGGTTCCTCGGTGTCAAAGCCGTCTGCTCTGGCGTGGAAGCCAAGGTGCTGGGAAGAGGCCTGGCCACCAGCTCCATCCCTGCTCTGCAGCCCCCAAACCCCTGGATTTGGGGTGGAGGCAACAGACCTGGGGTTCACTTGCCGTTGGCAGGTCTCAGCGAGCAGTTTTTAGCGTGTTTTGCTCTGAGGTCAGTTTTCTGGTGGCCTATGGTGCCGTTGCACGCGCTGGACCCAGCCCTGGTTGCAACCTTGGCTTGCAACTAGTCTTGAAGGTGTTTCTAGGCTTAAAATTGGGTGACAGAGGCCAGGCTTTGGCCTGCAGTGTGCCATGTGCTGTTGGGTGTTACTAACTTCTTGTTGTGCTGATGCTGTGAAAAGTTTGTAGTTTTTCTCTGGTTTGTTAACAGGGATCTTGTAATTTTCCTTATAGAAATCATCAGTTCTTACAGAAATTACTGGTAAACGCTAAAAACTTAGGAGTAACAACTAGTCTGGAAGAATACTCTGTGTAGGGTTTAAATGGCTTTGAAACTGACTAGCTATGTTTTTGTACTTCCTATGTACATAGCAACTGCTTGTAAGTTTCTAGAAAGTAAACAAATGAATGCTTTGCTGTCTATGAATGGAAAGCACAATATACATGCAAAATATTTATTACTGTGTATGCGAAGGGGAGGTAAGAACTTGACATTGCAGACAACCAGGTTTGCTGTATGGCCTTAGTGTTAATGGTTTTTCTGAGACGTTTCATTTCCTAAGAGTGAATCTGTTTCAAAGTTTGCACTGCTGTTGGTGATATGCTTAAATTTTCTTTTGAAGTATTTGATTTAACTCCCACTTCATTCTCTGTACAGGCCTCTCTTTCCCTTTGGCTTAAGGGTGCCAGTGCTACCTTACTTGGCAGGGAGTGCACGCTCCTTTTCTCCCATTTTGCAGATATTTCTTCACTGTTGGCCAGATCCAAGTGTCATGGAAGGCCATGTCAGCCTTTCTGTTAATTCTGGACTTTGCACAGGCTCATATTTGCATGTTACTAATATACAAGTAAGATTTTATTTTATTGTGGTTCTTTTTGTCCTGCATATTGTTGCTGTATAGGTGGGAATGCTGATGTTAAAGTAGTGTTACCAACTGTAGCAGTGTTTACTTATGGTTTTCTGGAAGCCCCATCTCTGTGAGTCTTGTGAATGTGTTAGGTCTCATTTAGATAAAGAAAATCTTAGCCATGATGATTGTGAAGAAGAGCTTGAGGTCTAATCAGAATACATTAAAAAGCCAGGAGGGGAAATCTCAGTCATGTCTTTGAGAAGTAAACAAGAATTCGTTCTGTGCTCTGCAGGCATTGTTCTCGTGATTTTCAAATGTATGGACATAGGAACATTGCTGAAGGTTTAATAGGATTTAGTAGCCTTTAGATTATTTGCTGAGCCTCTGAGTGTCAGAACCAACTGAATTACTCTTCTGGGCTCAATTCTGAGTAACGTAGAATAGAGTTTGATTAGTCAATTAGTAACTTGTCAGCGTAAGCAAGCTGTAATTTAGTAAACTACAAGTGTTTTTAAGAATTACTCACATATAATAGTCTAGAGCAACACTGAACATTGTTCACGTTGTTATTGCTGTTGTGATGGGATGCCCTCAAGCAGTGAGACCAGTGTCTTTCTAGGCCATTATTGCAAAGGTGTTTTAAGGCATGAGGCCGAACCTAAGCGGTGTAATTATACCATAGAAACTAATTGAGTTAATGCTCTTGTTGCAATTGTGAAATAGCCAAATGTGTAGATATATAGCATATGTAAAGAAAAGGAAACTAGTTAGGCCCGTGTTCTCATGGAACCAGGCAGTAGCAACTCAGTTATGAACTTATCTGGAGCTGATCAGAAAACTGCATGTCAAAGGTACTGAGAATGATATTGATTAGATCTGTAATCTGTGTTTCAGATACTTGGCATTTGTAGTGCTACATATAATCATTTGAAGTAATCTTAGTACGTGTTCATTTGCAAGCTAATGCAGAATAAATTTCTATTTATAAATAATCTTTGGCTTTTCTCTGCCCCTGTATTTTGCATATGTTTGAAGTATTACATTTGGTTGCAATCAGACATTCACAGAGTCAACTGCAAAGTTTCTAGTTCACACAGCTCCTTAAACTGTTGTAGAAGAAGTAACAGTACTGGTAAAAAGAAGCCAAGAGCTTATATGGAAGAGGTGATCAGAAGCACTGAGGTATTGGCCTAATTTTTGCTAATGTCTCGCAGGTAAATCCTAAGAATTATCAATGCAGCAATGTTAGGTGCTTTTAAAAATCATGTGCTTAAATAGTGAAGAAAAATGTGTATTTTCAAATAAACAGGAATACATTTTAGCAGAAACCTGTTGGACGCCATCTACGACTGAGATCTCTGCAAGGGGTTGGTGTTCCTGAATGTTACTGACTTACTGTTAGGTCTATTTCTTAAGAAGTAATTTGCATAGTTGCAATTTGTGTTAAAGCTGTGGCTGTCTCTTTCGTGTAATTTCCCTAGTGCTAGCTGTTGTGTAAATAAACAATGGAGGTAGACATTTTTTGCTCTAGAGAATTTAGACTTTTGGTGGCAAACAGTGATTTCAGAAAGGAGAGGAACAGTTCAACAACAAGAATTGGAGAATATTCTTATAATCTCAGCTATGTATTTGGCTAGTCATTCTTGATTAGGAATTTTTGATACATACATTGATGCCCTAACTTAAGGGCAAATGCATGCCCTTAGGGGCAAAGTATGAAATTCCTGATATCACGGAATATTCAGTTAAGGTTGGGGTGGGACTATATTATGCAATTATTTTAAATGTGTTTCAAATAGGGAACTAAACGCAACTCAGAGTGACGTGAAAGGAGGATTGATGTAATCATGGTAGGTTGGGAAGATGATGCCATCCTGAAAGAAGTTGAATAGATGAAGGCAGGTGAAAGTCTAGAGAGAAATTATACCCAGGAAAGTACAACTTAAAGCTGTTGGCAAGAAGGGGGTAAATTTGGTTGTGCTTTACAGAGAGTACAACTGCATTAGCAAAACCTTAAATTTTAAATTACTTTAAATGGAACTAAAAGTAAATGGGAACTACGATGGCTAAAATGGGTTGGTTTGTTGGCAGATGGGCAGTAAAGCGTACTGGCGGAACTAACCTGACATCTGCATATTCATGTAGGAATGTTTTACTCTTCAGGAAAAAGCAAAATATTGAGGGTCTGTTCATCTATGCAGGCTGGAGTCGAGTATGTAAGTTCTTAATAATTTGGAGCTGTTTTTTATCACAAGACTCTCAAGCACACCTTATGTTTCCTTAACCAAAAATGTCAGTGGTTACTGCAGCAAGGTCGTGGTCACTAAATTGCATGTCTATACAATTATTAAATTAATGGTATGTAAGATTCCGAATACTACTAAAATAATTGCTGATCCAAACAAAGCTATGGTTACAGGAGCCAGATTTGAGAAGCCGTGGAAACTTTGCTGTTAGTTACAGGTTGTCTGATCTCCACGCTGTTTTGTTAAAGCATTTTTAAGAAGGAAGAAAAAAAGTCATTGGTTCTTAATTTGCAGTGCCATTTACTGCCAAATGTGGCATGGGTTTCTGCAAAAAGGGCTGCACGTTCGGTTCAGAGGGAGATAGGCCTGTAAGTTAGATTCCTTTTCCCTGTTTTCTTGGTTAAAAAGAAATAAATCACTTCTGGGGAAGGACAGAGCTCTGATTAGACTGGAGTTAGAAACTCTGAGGAGTGTTTGTAAACATCTCCAGATGTGGAGGCGTACCCCTCCTGTAACGTTATGCTGTGTGTTTCTCAATCTCAAATAAAATAGTTACATCTGTGTATTAATATTCTTTCAGTAGTCCAGACCATTCTGTGGTCTGTTTCAGAAGAGACTTACATAACTGTCATGTCTAACTCATGGGTGGACAAATAATAGCCTAAAACATGAGGATATGCACAGTAATTTTAAGTAAAATACAGCGGTTATTATGCAGAATGGAGTCAGAAGGTTGTGCTTTAGTCTGTAGCTGGTTAGTGACTCTTCTTTCCCTGCAAACTTGTGCTCATTTACTGCTTTCATTTAAGGTCTTTGATAACGTTAATGCACAAAGGTACTCTCTTATGAGAAGTAGAAGTGAACATTAAGGATTATTTTGTCTCCAGGGACGTGAAACCAGGACAGTTTTAAAGATAAAATCAGTAAGATGCATTTCATTCTTTGCACCAAAATCTATGCTTACACGAATTTGATAATTTGTTTTACCCTTTGTTACCAGACATGCATGTTTCTTCTGTAACTTCTAAATGGGAAGGACTGACTGAGTTGCCTTACAAGTGATGCTCAGCTGTATTCCTTATATTTGTGTGGGCTTTCCAAGCATCTTTCATTCCAAGAAAAGAGTGTCATGGTTAAAGATGAGATGCTTATTTCCCTGGGTGATGAAAGCTGGGCTGTGCATTGACAGCTCCAAGATGATTATTTCTTTCTGGTGTTCACTTTAAAATAAAAGTATCGCAAGCATCTAGTTTATCAGGTAATAAATGGAAGCAGCAGTAGCAGATATAATGTGTTATCCTTAGCATGAATAGTGCATGCATTCCGCTTTGTGATACTTTGTTAATTAATTAAAAAAATGAAAGAAAGCTGAGATTGCATCCCTAGCTTTGAACGATATTATTGTGTGCAGACCTGGTGCAGATGTGTCACTGCC